AAAATGTGATCTAGGAGGTGAATTTTCTTCAGTGGGAGCTTGAGCTGAAACAGAGTTACTTGCTTGATAATGAACAAACATGGGCTGAGAGGTTTGATAGGGTTGCTACAGAAAATGCTGCTCTGATGGTTGCCCTTCAGACAAGGTCAGAGGAATTGAGGAAGGTTGCCATTGAGAAAATGAGTAAGTGGAGGAAAATGTCATTTGCAATGATGGTGCCTTGAGTGTTGATGTTAAAGGCAAATTCTTCTGGCCATGAGGTTCCTTGAAATAGGCAATGAATTTAATTTTATGGTTGGCAGTAATTTCTCCAGAGCATTATGTTGGTACAAACCGGCATATCTAGACCTGCTGGAAAGTCTGAGACCTTGAACAATGAGAGGTGGCCAGAGGTCTGCACTAACAATTTACGTCAGACCCCTGGCAAACTTTGCCTGAAATCTTTCTGTGGGTGGAGACATGCACATCCTGCAGCATTATTTATGAGGGCCTGTTTTCAGGCTACCTAGTATGTAATTAAGCTGGGGAGCTGCTGTTAATAACTGAAAGTTAAAATATTGCATTTCTTTATTAAGTAATTGTCATTAGACTACTTCAACGGTATTAGAAAATATGACTTATTGTAACATATTGATTACACTTTGAGTTAACCTCTATGAATGGAAAAAAAATTTTTGTTCTAGCATTGTGCACAATGGGTATTTTATTGGTTTGTCACCAAATCCTAGTGTTGCCGGTAGCATTTAGAACTGGCCTTTAGTTTGCTTATTGGATGTGGTATGGGGATTGATGTCAGGAAGTTGAATAGACTGACTGGAATATTTTGAATGTGAAAATTTTTTCCAGGGGATGAGTGAAAAGAAAAACTTCTATGTCTAGTTTTTGGTTTGTAGTAGATGTTTTTTTTTCTCAGCACTTATGCGGGATCGTGATGAGCTAGCAGCGGCCTTGGAAGTCAGAGACAGGATCAAATATGACTTGAGTACTCCCGAGAGGGAAGAAATCTTGTCCACTGGAGATCTGATTGTTGAGGTAATGTTTTGTAAGACAGATTTTGAGGATAATAATGGATCATTTCCAAACCAATCGCTTTTTTTTAACACCTGGCCATCCTAGAATCACAGTGTTTCCTCATGGTGCTCATTTATACGATCAAACGTTATTTAAGAAACAAAACAAAACTTAAAAATTGATAACGCTTACCTTTCGTGCACACACGATAATTATTCTTAACGACTCCTTAACATATTTCACGATAATGGTTTGTTAGTAGGAAATTCTTTGTGTGTATTGATTGGTGCTGTTATCGTAACACACAGAATCATTGGTTTTTAGTACAGTCAATGTGTATTGTTATTATATTCTGCACAGTGTATCCAAGAGTACACCAATGTCACTTCAATTTGAAGATATTTTCTCATGGATTTTACTTTACCAGTAAAGGCCATGTGACCTAAGAGGGCTAGTAACACAGCTTCTTCCAAGTGTAGATTTTCTTTTTTTTGTTTGTTTTCTTTTCAGCTTGCAACTCTGGGTGCATGTCAGTGTAGAGGAAAAAAGCAAGAGCCGTGTGCATGTGCCAGGGCTGCAGTGGACGCTAAAAGGGACATAGCGAAACTCAAACATGAGGTAATCAAGTTCTGAGTAATTTGTACTTCCTCTACTGGTGTGACTGAGTATGCACTTCTCAAGAGATGAGTATTTTTCATGCTAGCGGTACATCAGTATCAAACGAGAAGATGTAAAGAAGTGTAATCGGGTGCCTCATGATTGAATTGTTCTACCGTCAAAGTTCAATACGTTGTAACGTTACTGAAAAAACAGAACTGTAATGGTGGTAATTTTCTTTTTGTTTTGTCTTCCCTAGCTTGAACTTGTGCAGCGAAGGGAGGAAGAAGCTCTTCTCGCTGCTGATGCGTATCGTGTTGCATTTGAACAACAACTTGCCAAGAATTCTTCACTTATCTATGAATTAATGAAGAGATCTAGTTGGAGAAAGAAGACTGGCCTCGGCGGGAAAACAAGGACATTGACGAAACAGGCAGAAGGGGTCAAATATGACCAGGAGGAGATTATCTGTCAGGTCAACACGTACAAAGATGAAATTGTAGAAACGCTTTTGAGCATGGTATGTATGTTGAAAACCTTGTTTACGCCAGATGGGAGTTCATTTTGTCAGGGAACAGTTGTTGGTTTTTTTCCCAGTAAATAAAACTTGATAAAAAAAAATCTGCAAAAGTGCAGGCTAACTTGCTGAAGTGTGCTTCAGAAATTATATTTTTTAAATAAAAAGCAGAAGTGAAATCATGACTTAAACCGTATTTTGAGATTCCAGAAAGTAAATTAACCTTTCAAAAAATTGTGTGCGAGTGTGAAGTTCTTGTAAATAACGCCTCACTGTTAAATTGTAAAATTGCATAATTCTTCTTTGCTGTATAGTACAAGCAAGGTATTCAGTTGAGTTTACGTAATAACAGGACGCGTGTTCCATTCTTGTTTTGATTGACAGCTCCATGACAACAGTGAAGCGCTTGCGCACCAAAGACTTGCCACAAAAATGTTGGCGGCAAAAATGAAAGAAATGGAGAAATGCAGTAACTGTGGATCGTTACTAACGACAAGATAGATGCGTCGATCAATTCGATGTTTTCATATCTCTCCCTGGCAACCACCCCGGGTATTTGAACTTTACAAGACTGGTTGGTTCCGATTGAAGTTCACAAAGAAAGAATTAATTTATTGTACAAAAAAAAAGAATTGGTTTGAGAATATCAAGAAAAGGAATATTTTAAGCGGTATTTTTTGGAATGAGGTTTTTATTTTAAGCAATCTATTTATTTATTTAATTATTTATTCATTGACGTTGTAAATACGTTTTTAGGAAGAAAAGGAAATGTGCTACGCAGTTCTTGTGTTGGGGTGCTGATAAAAATAGTGCGATTTATTATTGTCAAAACCATGTTCGCTTCAAAAAAGGGTTGCTAGCAATCCACATTTTTAGGCTGATATGTCAAAAGATGTATTTTGGTGGATTTGTAGATAAATAGCAAAGAAACAATCAAAAGTGTGGAAGTTAAATCCTTGTACCTCCTATCAACGCGAAAGCGGTTGAAACGTGTTGTATTATCATGTCTCGCGTTGTGTTGATTTGTAGAGTGGTTTTCAATTCAGTGTCGAAGAAACTTAATTCAAAGTAATCACAGTGACTAATCAGACTAAAACTTAAGGTTCACATTATCATTAGCAGTGAGAACTCCGTTGAAAACAAGCAAACTGCTTGAAGCGCGGGAAAATGCGGGCGACCTACTCATGACTGGTAATTTAGTGTTAACAACTCAGTTGAAAACGTAAATTGGCCACCGTAAAGAGTAAAAAAGCTGACGTTTCGAGTGTTAGCCCTTCGTCAGAGCGGTTGACGAAGAGCTAACGCTCGAAACGTTAGCCTTTTTACTCTTTACGGTGGCCAATTTACGTTTTTAACTCAGTTGTTAACACTAAATTACCTGTTCTACTCCCCCACTGACGCAGCACCACAGTTTCTTTAGAAACTTACCCCTTTATTCATTAGTCATGACTGGTTTAGTTTTGCATCTGATTGGCCTTTCTCTACATCTTACAACTTATTGGTTGAGAGGATGGCTCGAGTTTTGTGGACCAATCACAGAGCAAAGTGACGTAAAACCAACGCAGACTTGCTACAAACGTGTGATTATTTTTCATCGTGGTCATAAAGATAAATGAATCGTCTGTCTGAAAATGTAAAGTCACTAATGATAGCATTCGGTCTGACGAAGAGCTGACGTTCGAATTGTCGGTTTTAGAAAGTTTTTACGGTGGCCAATTTACATTATCAACTCACTCGATGAAAACCAAATTATCTCGTTATACCCCTCACCGACACAGCTCTACAGTTAAGTCCCCTATCATTTAAAATGTCACCATCAGTTATGCTTCGAACATTTTGGAGAGCACGAGGATGTCGATTGAGTGTCGCAAACAAAAACGCAAAAAAAAAACCCATGGTAATAACACCAACCAATCAGAACAAAGGAAAATATTACAAGAAGCCATTTGAAACTCAAAGTACAAACAATGAAACCGCATAAAGTGCGGGAAAACGCGGGCGTCCACGTAGCGTTTGGTTTTGAATCCATTTGGTTGAGAAAGAAGCGCAAATTTTCTGGACCAATTCAAAGCAAAGTCAAGAAAAACTAAAGCATTCCTGGTTTACTTTCGACAGTCAACTAAAAACCTCTTTATTGCTGGCTTTGGGCGATGGAGTTGAGTTATGCGTCGCTGTTTGATGTAGCTGGGTTTTTCTCAGAGGTCAGTGATCTTTGTTCATTATTATTTTTCTTTCAAATAGGTAGTCGCTAGTGAGTTTTGACGTCGGTTTTCCTGCTTTACGAAATTTGGGTCGCAGTAAGTTTAGATTAATTCAAGAGAGGAGCTATGTATAAATGTCCAAACTTAAAATGCGTTGCGATTATTCTATAACCTTCCGAGACTAGCAGATCAAAAAGTTCTCTCACGAAGTTTTCTCAAAATTAGCTTCGGTTTCGGCTGGAAATATTTGTTCGTGAGCTGGGAGACTGGGTTGAGCACACGAAGGTGAGGGTTATACCGGAAATATCCGTCAAAGGTATCGTGAAAAGACAAATCGTTTCTTTTTGGTAGCTAATTGCACTGTGTCATCACAAAACCATAACGCCCACAAGGAAAGAAAAATTTGGCTAAAAGTAATTTGAATATAACAGGTTTTACCTTAGTATAATACAGCTTGAGACCTCGCTACCTTTTGCCATTAGGAAATTATTTAAATGACGGCGTCCGAGAAGCCCCTGAGAAGATGTCTCGCTTATGTCATTTGTACTTTCTTCATCTGTCATTTGACAAACTTTGTAAATGCGAGAACCTCCTAGTAATGAGTAAGAACAAAAACGACTGCAATGGGACGAAAATGGGACAATAGTTCATGATAATAGAGATAGGGTCTTTGTAGACAAAATTGATTTATTAAATGTTCAATATATCAACTCACCCATACCATCAAACGAACTAGTCACATTAAATTAAAAGTGAATTTATCACATTTAAATTAGAGTAAAAAGTCGACTTTCCTAAGGTTCAAAGTTTAATTTTAAGTTCTGTCTCCTATGTGTAAGTCAATTTTTTTTTCGAGTAATAAAAATTGAGCTGACCACTAGCGAAATTCCAAAAAAAGCAAAATAACTGAAGACACTCGATTCAGGATGTCACGCAACTCTCTTGCTGGGCTGAGGGAGGACGTTGCGTGACAACCCGTAGAGTTACGTGGCATCCCGTAGAGCGGCTGCTGCGGAGACTAAATGTTGATTGTCCAAATAGACTGTGAAGCTATTACACTACTGGAGGATGGTGTGGGTGATACGGCCGGCATCGAAGATACAACTTGTGAACTTGAAGGCGATACGGCCGGCATCGAAGATACAACTTGTGAACTGGAAGGTGATACGGCCGGCATCGACGATACAACTTGTGAACTTGAAGGTGATACGGTCATCACCGGACTGGAGGAAGGCGACGGAATTGGACTCATGGGTGGGGCAGGAGTGGGTGGCTTGAAAATCTCTCCTGTTATAGATATGATAAATGGTACACCTCTGTTTATAGCGCGTCCTTGCTTTGAACAAAGTACTAACCGTTTTACTTATACAATAAAGAGGGTGGAACAACTTCGACCTAGAGATCTGCAGACTTCCTCCGAACAAGATCAGAATAATTGGTATGAAAATGTATCGGTTTAGTTATGGATCGAATAATCAGGGACAAAAACCATCATTTATCGCCTGTAGGACCGTTTGTTTGTTTTTTTTTCGAAGGGGGGGATCGTACGGTTTTTAGGGGGAACTGAGAGAAGGATCAGTCGTCTCCATCAGAGATTAAAGGAAGGACTATAGAAAATTGACGTCTAATAATCAATTAGTGACACAAACAAATCATTAGTGACACAAACAAATCATTAGTGACACAAACAAAATCCTTCGACAGAACCCCTCTCCCCCCCGCCCCTTACTTCTTACTATCCAGTGTGACCAAAACTGAATTTCTCCTTATAATATTAATACAATATTCAGCAGAAAAGTGATGAGAATAAAGAAAAACATATCATGGAAGGCATGATTAGTTCATCAACTACCAAATTCGCTAAACAAACATAATGAGAATGACATGGCAGACATTAAGGAGAATAAACAATGATATCTTGGGAGTGAAAGGTTTAATCAGTAGCAACCTAAACTCAAGATCTGATTATGCTTCGGCTTACTTGGCAATTGCGTCATTTGTTTATGTAGAAATGCTTTCTCTATCAGGCATTTCTCTGGAAACAGAGTCTCTACTACGTTTCTGGCATGGATTACTTACTTTGTCAGCATTTTGTTGTTGGTCTAGCTCTAATCAGGGTTAGTAACTTCACATGATACTTACCAAAGATTTTGACTTGACTTTTTTGGCAATTTGTATTATTCAAGCAGTCTACTTCTTTCAGTACAGATTTGAGTATGGAATACTTCCTTTTTCCTGTTTAAGAAAAACACAGTTAGTTGCTTTAAAAAAGTACCTTTTTTTTGGTCAGTTGCTACATTTTTTCTCACTATTTCATTATTTTCCTCAAGACGTGATAGGAATAAAAAAAATTAGCGCACTTGCTTGCGGTTTGTATGTCAGTGATGTTATTATTATCCCTTTGTCATGCATTATGGCGAATTTTGTGGGCTAAAATGAAAATTTTGCTGAGCTGAAAGCTCGCACACTCTCGTGATTCTTCATTTTTTTCTGTTGCTATTTTATTGATGATATTAGTAATAGTACAGTATACGTTCGTGGGCTTAAATATGTTTTTGGCTCTTCTCAGAGTCATTTTAACCCTTGCCCAGCAGCTCGAACATAATATCTATTGTTTTATTACATGTACCACGATTTGGCGACTTTTATGTTAAAAATTTAAGACACACGGCCAATTTATACTTGATATTAAACAAGAAAAGGAAATTCCCCTCGGTCGCTTGACTCTCTGAGATTTTTTATGTGCCTTGCAACGTACTTTTCTTGTAGCTAGGAACTCGCCCATTTTTTCTTCCTTCGGAAACAGATCCTTCAGCTCTTACATTTATAAAAATATTGCAAATATTTTCAACACTGTGCGTAACGCTGAACGAAATAATAAAAAAAACGAGCTTTTTCATGACCTCTCCTTGCGTCTGTTCTCTGATTGATCACCGGCAATAGTCTCATAACCAGACCTTCTACGGCCAAGCGTTGGGAGGGCCGGTCCCAGCATTTCAATTACTTAAACGCTGGGCACGAGGTTACATCGCCAATTACCATCAGAGTGCATAACGTATAATGCATTAACTTTAAAAGAAATTTTTAGCTGATTTATTTTGATAAAAACAGAATAAGCTACTTACCCCAATAGCGTGCGCAGTAACCATAACGGTAATGGTAACGGCGGCGGTAAGAGGGGCGGTAATGGCGGCGGCTCCTCCTTCCCCACGACCTGAAGCTCCTCTTTTCTCTAAGATTATGGCCTGGAAAATAAAAAGAATTTATAGACGAACACACAGATACGGTCTGTAATAAAGGTTCTTTTTAAAGTCACTTTGAATTTGTGTGAGAGAGAAATAAATAATGCTGTCTTGGTGTCATAAGAACTGTTTTTTTTTCCACAAAGATTTGTACTGTGGGTTGGTGAAGCGGGAAAAAACAGGTTCTCATCATTCTTATATCCGATATTAATCCGATAAAAATTTCAGTTTAAGAAGTAATTAGTTTCGTTTTCTGAATTATGGAATGAATTTTTTTGCCTTCCAAATTTATTTTCGATGGTTTGCGTCGCTACGTTTGGCCATGAAAACTGGCTCCAACGCACGCATGCGAGAGATGATGCTTACTCTGTTTTAAGACTTGAACTAAATTATCAAGCACCTTGCAATTCCATGTCTGCCTCACTGACTTCGTTTTCATTCTCTCCTTGAACAAGTAATATCAGGAATATGACACAGAATGCTGCCTGTAAACAAGAAGAATAAAGGCCATAAACTTCTAATTATAGACACAAGTGCGGATAACCTGTCAGCTAACAGCTATCACATTTATGAATATGGCCGCAAAGTGGGGTATTCTAGTAAATGAATTCAGATGTGTGTTTCTTGGACATCATTAATATTAGCGCGAAATGAAAGACGACTTTAACCATAGCCAAGTGCAATATCTATTCACACACTAGAAAGCGGATCTTGAATAAGAACGTAAAATCACTATGGCATTCAATCACTTTCTTTATCTCCTTTATTGCTTAATTAATCAGAGTTAATTGAAGTTGATCAAAGTATTTTGTTGAAGTTTGCTGCCATTCCCAGCTTTCTGAAGGCAAGAACTTGTAAATAAAAAAGCGTGATATTTGAGCGCAATACTGGCGCAAGAGTCCTCATACTGGTTCAATGCATTGCAGGTAATCGTATTCCTTCACTCCGAAATCAATGACAACTACGCCGAAGGATGTGGAAAATTCTTCACAAGCGTGGGACGATAATCTAATTAAAAGAATTGTAGCCTCAGTCCTCTCATTTTTCCGTCCAATAAGCGATGCTTTGTAAAATAAGCTAAACAGAGCTTGTGAGCGAATTAGACAATTGAATAGATTCATATTTGACAGACATTTTGCCAGAATCGGTAAAAAACCATCATATGTAAGGATATTGCACAAAAATGACAATTTCTTAGCTCCTAATATTATTGTAGTTTCCTGTGCAAATAATTTACGATCAAAATATAAATGATGTCTTTAAAGTTCTTTATCTTAAATTTGGGTTTGGGTTTTCCAGTGATGATAACTTGGAAATATAGACAAATGTCCTTACTGACGTACAAAATACTCTACTGGAACTTAATTAACTGATTAAAATGTACTTACCAAAATAAGAAGCCTGAGGGTATTCATGGTTAAAGAGCTTTATGGCTGGTGTATATGGAAAAAGGATCTGCTTTCCAATTTCTTCAACAATGGTCACCTCTGCTGTTATCCAATGATTGAAACAATTTCAGTGTGTTCTTTTATAGGCGATTTAGGATCACGTGTCATGATTCATCAATATAGCGTTTTTCTATTATTCACTGTGTAACAGGGCTGCGGTTTGCGTTAATCGTGAAGTTCTTCAGGGTCTGGAAAATGCCAATCATATTTAGGAAACAAATAGTTACCGGCGAACATGTTGGCTTCACAACTTGAATTCAAGTAGGGTGTAGCTATTTTTTCCTTCTTTGTGACTGTTTTGGGAAAAACACCATGGAAACTAATTTCATTAGGAACTTTGCAAAGCTATGACACCCCACGAAGGAAACCGTTAAGGCTAATCATTAAGGGAAAAAGATAATCTTATGAAACTTCATTTATAAAATATCAACCACGACAATTGCATTTAATTTTTTGGAGGATTCATTGACGTTATAATGTTGCATAATTTCTTTAACGCGTAACTTCTCGATCTGTCTTTTTAGCATGTATAACGCATGTCCAAGCTGGTGTAATAGAGCGGATTGCTCTTAAAATTGATGTGCCTTTGAATATCAAGATTCTGCGGAAGTAAGTCAATCGAAACAGTTTAAATCAAACTTTTGTAGAGAGCCATTCCCAAAGTGAAATTTTAAAGCGATCTTATTAAATTTTAAAGTTTTAAGGAGATAAATGTGCTGCTTAAAGAAATGTTTTTCTATTAGTCTTTTTCACTTGTTGTCTGGCATGTTTTTAACTTTTGTTATGGAGAAGAAAACATAGCTATTAGCGTGCCCTTGATCCCAAGATGATCAACGTTAATTGTAAGGATCCTTGAATTTTTGCATTAGTTTATTTCTTGTGACAGAGAAAATTTTGAATATTATGCAATAATGATTTTCTTATGAGTTTGCGAAGTCTGTGCACTGATGTAGTAACATGAATTTCTTGATAAACCCATAGAGCAAATATAAGACGCTGATTTCATTGAGGCACTTACGTAGGCGGTTTCCTCCGCCCAAGATCCTTGAACACCAAACTTTGAACGTGACGTTTTCAATAACAAAATAACTCTTTGCACTTCTCAAAGTTAAGACCTTGAAACGGTAAAAATTGAACCATGTTACAAGAGAGAGAAAGGAAAGAATGGTTTTATCTGTTTTGTTTTGCCACGAGAATATCAACTCCCAAGTCAAAGCCGGTCAAAATATCGTCTGTTCGTCAACTACTATTCCAATACCCTTCATTTAGGTTGGCCTGAAAGCTTACGAGGCATACATGATAAGTAGGTTTTTAGGGATTTTACACAACTCACGTAATTTCGCGCGGGTGAGATAAGCGCTGTCAACAAAAATTTGACTTAAAGGTGTATTATTACACTTCTTGACAAGTTTTGCCAAAAACTATTTGGCAATGTGATTCGGTCAAAATATTTAAAACATAATTTTAGTCCCAGTTATTTGCTTAGTATTGTGTGGTTGCATCAAAACATCTGATGAATATCATACTTAATTCTTACTTGGGAAATTTGTTCGTCAAATAGTATAAGAGGTGAATACTTTTCCTAAAAGAAATTTAGCGTAGTTTTGCTCTTCATTGAAAATCACACCTATCATGATACCCACAGTCGTAAGTATGTTACTTCATTTCCAGCTGATCGATTTAGTTTGAAAGGAGATGAACGGTATCTTTGTTGGTCAGTAAGTTTTCTATTGTTGTTTTCATGGTAGCAGTCGCCGATCGGGAGCGGTGTCAATTTGCGTGGTCTGCGGCCAGGCATTCCCGGACTGCGCTGAAGTTTGAAGTATTATTTTCGACCTTGGAGATGTTTCGCATTTTTCCATGACGGGGCAATATTTCACAATTCGAGTACCCTTCCAAGAAAATCACCTTCCGATATGCTTTTTAGGCTAAAATTACAGGATGTTTGCAAGGCCTTTTCCTAACTAACGCAGACGCCTTAATTACCTGCATTCCTCCCTCCCTTTAAACCGCCTCCCGTCTAAAAACCTTCAAATTCCTCATGCCATTGCTCATTATGTTATTTGGGAGCAACTGTGTTTCAGTGCAAAATATTCATGCAGATGAAAGCCTGTCCGCCGGCATTAATACTCTGCATTGAATGTCTCAGGCTCTCGGATAGGAAATGCTTACTGTGCGCTGTGTAGTGAAAACTTTGGCCCTCAATTATTAGTTGTTGATAAGGGTCAGGTCGCACGAGAGCTAATTTTGCTTGTTTCAGATGTAAATCTGTCAACAAGTCGTATAAAATAAGTTCGACACTCAGTTTTAACCCGTAAGAAACCGTTGAGGTATCATTGCGCAAATCTTTTAAAAGTTTTTTAATTCTGGTAAGAGAATTTTGTCTGGTCAACTGTCCACCTCAGTCAATCCAAGATAGTTATCAGATTTAATAACTGTATGACTTCACAACATAGCGACCATTTCGGGTATCGAAGATTTTTGTACCCAATCCGAAATGTTCGCTGTTAATTTGTTATTACATGCCGTTTGTACAAAAAATTCCACCGGAAATTAATGAATGAATACTGATCTTCGCGTGTACTCAAGATGGTGGTCGATGGTGATAGAGGCGAAATTTTGGGCACAGAAGTAACAGGACAGTTGAAATGACCCATTTGATTGAGTTATGTTTTTCAACTTTGTCCTAAAGTTTTAGTCAGTGAATAAAATTTTTCCTGAATCAAAAAAATAATGGACCTGTACTTCAATCTATTTTTTTTTCGATGCACCTGCTAATTATCGTGATGCGAACCGCAAGAAAAAAGTGCATAGGGTGGTCTTGATTTACAGCTTAATCAGTCGCCAACCGCCATTTTGGGTTTTTGACGATGCTTTCAATCTCTCTGTTTATCATCCGAACATTTTTGTCTAATTTCCGATTTCTTATCACCGTACCATACTTAGTTTGTAGTATTTAAAACAATGATGTTTCGTTTCATTGTGCTGTTATTGCCCGAAGAAAACATTATTAAACAAACCAAACTAGTTATTTGTTAAACGAGAGCCCGCTGTCGTCGAATATTATGCTCCGTTTGAGGGTTGAACTTGGTTTTGCGTCTGGTCGCTTCATGTCAAGGATAAGCTCCGGCTGGATGGGCAACTTGGCTCATGCACGGATTTTACTTTATCTTTCCACAAGTCAGGAAATGGTCAGAAAAAAGAGTTCTTCAAGGTCAGGGAAAAGTCAGGGAATTCCACTCTACGTCAAGGAAAATTTGTTTTTAAGAGAAATAAGCAAAAATTGGATTTTTTTACCAATTCAAGTACTTTAGTAAGTTTTTATGGACATGAAATGTAAATAAACTAAATGGGTTTCAATAAACAATAATATAGTTTGGTTCTAGTAGTACATATTGTAGTATATCCACTTAATGGCTCTTCCTTTATCAATCAAATTCCAGATTGAATTGTAATTTAGAAAAAGGAAACAACAAATGTGCTGGATTGTTGAAATATTGTTTCATGAAAATTAACAAGATATATTTGTTTGGTTTCCACCAAAAAAATCATTTTTCTATATTGTGTCAAGGAACTATCAATTCATCTGCCCTGCATGTGACTTACTTACTGAAAGCATAAATAAATGGGTGGAGAGGATGGCTGTGGGGTTGGTTTGAGGTCATCATTGAGCCAATTTGGGAAATTGTAAAATGGTCAGGAATTTCATAAACCTACATCACGGCTGTAGCAACCATGTTGTATATACATGCATTTCTGTCTCATAGTTAACTGAACATGTCATATGTAATATAAAGTGTAGTATTACAATATTATAAATATGTTATTGTTTTGGATGATGTGGATTTTTTATATTGTTTTATTTTAATATAGCCTAAATATCTCTTAACAGATATTTCACAGGAAGCCCCGCATAACGTCTTTCCCTCAGTGGCATAGTTCAGGACAAATACCCTTGCACTAACCAAAAATAGACAAGGTTTGCTACTGGAACACTTCGTAGAAGTATAAAAGCCAAGAGCTGAAGTTCAAATAAATTGACGAAAAGGAGTAAGAGATATTAAATGACAAGTGATGTGTGGTTTATTGGTGGATATGAGCTACGAAAGAATTTAAAGCTTTAAAGTTAATATGAAAAGTACAGTAAAACTGTTATTTATTTTTTTGTCTTATTTTACATTTTTCTGTCAAGTTCGAAAGCTACTCTTCCAAAAATTACAGTGGAAAAGTGAAAAATCTTGAAAAATCCGCTCTGTTGAATGACGTCACTGGTCCCCAGCAGCGCCATTTGCGTATGTATTCCATAATATTAACATCGCAACTTTTCAAAATGTTGCAACAAAACGGAACGCTAAGTGTTTGGAAGTTCCAACCACCTCCCTTGTACCATGGTGGAGGTTTAAGTTTACATGTGAGTCTGAGCGTTAATTGGTCCGATATAATCCAAATTTGTGAAAAAATTAAAAATTAAAAAAACATTCATAATTCAATTATGTCAAGTCTTTGCTCTTTGGAAAACACCGGCTCTTTATCCACTTGGTGTGTTTGTTATGAAAAAAAATGCCATGGAAACTAATGCGGAACTACGTTACGGACACTCGATAATAACGATTCTTCTTCGTAGCAATATTTCAGGATGTTACACAACTCTTTTACTACGCTGAGGGGGACGGGGGTAAGATACGTTGGGTGACTTCCCGTAGAGTTACGTGACATCCTGTAGAATGGCTGCTGCGGAGACTAAGCGCTGACTGGCTAAACAGTCTGTGAAACCATTACACTGCTGGAGGATGGTGTGGGTGATACGGCCGGCATCGAAGATACAACTTGTGAACTTGAAGGTGATACGGCCGGCATCGACGATACAACTTGTGAACTTGAAGGCGATACGGTCATCACCGGACTGGAGGAAGGCGACGGAATAGGACTCATGGGTGGGGCTGGAGTGGGTGGCTTGAAAATCTCTCCTGTAAGTGATATGATAAATGGTACAACTCTGTTTATAGCGCGTCCTTGCTTTAAACAAAGAACTAACCGTTTTACTTATACAATAAAGAGGGTGGTACGAACAACTTCGATCTAGAGAACTGTGGACTTCCTCCAAACAAGATCAGAATAATTGGTATGAAATGGGGGGGGGGGGGAAAAATCAGGTAAATTTTATTGTGACACAAACAAATTCCTTCAACCTCTTCCCCCCCCCCCAACTTCTTACTATCCAGTGTGACCGAAACTGAATTTCTCCTTATAATATTAATACAATATTCAGCAGAAAAGTGATGACAATACAGAAAAACATATCAATGAGGGCATGATTAGTTCATCAACTACCAAATTCTCTAAACAAACATAATGAGAATGACATGGCAAACAGTAGGGAGAATAAATAATGATATCTTGGGAGTGAAAGGTTTAATCAGTAGCAACCTAAACTCAAGATCTGATTATGCTTCGGCTTACTTGGCAATTGCGTCATTTGTTTATGTAGAAATGCTTTCTCTATCAGGCATTTCTTTGGAAATAGTGTCTCCCCTCCGTTTCTGGCATGGATTACTTACTTTTTCAGCACTTTGTTGTTGGTCTAGCTCTAATCAGGGTTAGTAACTTCACGTGATACTTACCAAAGATTTTGACTTGACTTTCTTGGCAATTTGTATTATTCAAGCAGTCTACTTCTTTCAGTACAGATTTGAGTATGGAATACTTCCTTTTTCCTGTTTAAGAAAAACACAGTTAGTTGCAGACATAGTTTGATGCTACTCTGGTTTGCAGATTTAATGAATGTAACCGAAGAAGTTACAATTCATAGACCCAACGTTTCGACACTCCTGTCTAGTGCCTTCATCAGGGGTGATCTAAACGCTGCAACAAGAGGTCGTTTTATATGATCACTAATTAGCGGCCTTTTTTCTGACGAGGTGTAAATAGGCGTCAGGAAGCAAACCGCCATCGTCACGATTTAAAGGAGCGTGGGCGGAGTTAATATGCCAAGCCTCCAAACAAAGGCGCTAGTGGTAACGCCGATTAGTGGTGATAATTTTAGAATTATCCCACCCAATTGTATGGTTAGTTAGGCATGTAGCTCCGATAAAGCTGAATTTTCCTTTTTGCAAAGGAAAACCGCTTTTTGGTGCTCTTTTAAACGTGTACCAAAGTGATGTTTGGTCTGTCCAATGTATTCGTTGTCACAGTCATTGCAAGGAATAGAAGAAATGGCGTCGGTTCGTTGTTCTTTCGTGACAGGATCCTTAGGTTTGGCGAAAATATGCCCCAAAGTCTGAAAAGGCATTTCGGTTACTTAAACGGCAGGATCTGGGCACGAGGTTACATCGCCATTTACCACCAGAGTGCATAACGCGTTCACTGTAAAAGAAATTTTTTAGCTGATTTATTTTAATATAAACAGAATAAGCTACTTACCCCAATAGCGTGCGCAGTAACCATAACGGTAATGGTAACGGCGGCGGTAAGAGGGGCGGTAATGGCGGCGGCTCCTCCTTCCCCACGACCTGAAGCTCCTCTTTTCTCTAAGATTATGGCCTGGAAAATAAAAAGAATTTATAGACGAACACATAGATACAGTCAGTGATAAAGGTTCGTTTTCAACTCAATTTGAATTTGTGTGAGAGAGAAATAATTATCAAGCACCTTGCAATTCCATGTCTATCTCACTGACTTCGTTTTCATTTTCTCCTTGAACAAGTAATATCAGGAATATGACACAGAATGCTGCCTGTAAACAAGAAGAATAAAGGCCATAAACTTCTAATTATGGACACAAGTGCGGATAACCTGTCAGCTACCAGCTATCACATCTATGAGTAAGGCCGTAAAGTGGGGTATTCTAGTAAATGAATTCAGATGTGTTTTTCTTGGACATCATTAACATTAACGCGAAATGAAAGACGACTTTAACCATAGCCAAGTGCAATATCTATTCACACACTAGAAAGCGGATCTTGAATAAGAACGTAAAACCACTTTTGTCATTCAGTCACTTTCTTTATCTCCTTTATTGCTTAATTAATCAGAGTTAATTGAAGTTGATCAAAGTATTTTGTTGAAGTTTGTTGCCATTCCCAGCTTTCTGAAGGCAAGAACTTGTAAATAAAAAAATTGATATTTGATATCTGATATTTGAGCGCAATACTGGCGCAAGAGTCCTCATACTGGTTCAATGCATTGCAGGTAATCGTATTCCTTCACTCCGAAATCAATGACAACTACGCCGAAGGATGTGGAAAATTTTCCACAAGCGTAGGACGGCAATCCAATTAAAAGAATTGTAGCCTCAGTCCTCTCATTTTTCCGTCCAATAAGCGATGCTTTGTAAAATAAGCTAAACAGAGCTTGTGAGCGAATTAGACAATTGAAAAGATTCATATTTGACAGACATTCTGCCAGAATCGGTAAAAAACCATCATATGTAAGGATATTGCACAAAAATAGCTCTTAATATTATTGTAGTTTCCTGTGCAAATAATTTACGATCAAAATAAAAATGTTTTCCTTAAAGTTTTTTATCTTTAAAATTGGGTTTTGCAATTTGCAGTAATGATAACTTGGAAATATAGACAAATGTCCTTACTGACGTACAAAATACTCTACTGGAACTTAATTAACTGATTAAAATGTACTTACCAAAATAAGAAGCCTGAGGGTATTCATGGTTAAAGAGCTTTATGGCTGGTGTATATGGAAAAAGGATCTGCTTTCCAATTTCTTCAACAATGGTCACCTCTGCTGTTATCCAATGATTGAAACAATTTCAGTGTGTTCTTTTATAGCGATTTAGGATCACGTGTCATGATTCATCAATATAGCGTTTTTCTATTATTTACTGTGTAACAGGGCTGCGGTTTGCGTTAATCGTGAAGTTCTTCAGGGTCTGGAAAATGCCAATCATATCTACAAAACAAATAATTACCGGCGAACATGTTGGCTTTAGAACTTGAATTCAAGTAGGGTGTAGAATGTTTTCCCTTCTTTGCGACTGTTTTGGGAAAAACACCATGGAAACTAACTTCATCAGGAACTTCGCAAGGGTATGACAGTCCACGAAGGAAACCGTTAAGGCTGATCATTAAGCGAAAAAGATAAACTTCTAAAGCCTCATTTAAGAAACATTAACCACGACAATTACATTTACTTTTTGGAGGATTCGTTGACGTTTTAATGTTGCATGATTTCTTTAACGCGTAACTTCTCGATCTGTCTCTTTAGCCAATATAACGCATGTCCAAGCTGGTGTAATAGAGCGGAATGTGCCTTTGAATATCGAGATTCTGCGGAAGTAAGTTAATCAAAACAGTGTAAATCAAACTTTTGTCGAGAGCCATTCGCAAAGTGAAATTTTATAGCGATCTTATTAAATTTTAAAGTTTTAAGGAGATAAATCTGATGCTTAAAGAAATATTTTCTTTTTGCCTTTTTTACCTGTTGTCTGGAATATTTTTTTATGCCACTGTGGAGTAAAAATCGTTTTATTTGTATTGATCACAGAAATTATTCGAGTTAATGTCGTTGTGCCGTTAAAAACTTTTGTTATTGAGAAGAAAACATAGCTATTAGCGTGCCCTTGATCCCAACATGATCAACGTTACTTGTAAGGATCCTTGAATTTTTTGCACTAGTTTATTTCTTGTGATAGAGAAAATTTTGAATATTATACAATAATGATTTTCCTATGAGTTTGCGAAGTCTGTGCACTGATGCAGTAGTAGTGAATTTCTTGATAAACCCACAGGGTAAATATAGGACGCTGATTTCATTGAGGCACTTACGTAGGCGGTTTCTTCCGCCTAAGATCCTTGAACACTAAACTTTGAACGTGACGTTTTCATAACAAAATAACTCCTTGCACTTCTCAAAGTTAAGACCTTGAAACGGTAAAAATTGAATCATGTCACAAGAGAGAGAAAGGAAAGAATAGTTTTCTCTGTTTTGTTTTGCCACGAGAATATCAACTCTCAAGTCAAAGCCGGTCAAAACATCGTCCGTTCGTCAACTGCCATTCCAATATCTCCAATATCCTTCATTTAGGTTGGCCTGAAAGCTAACGAGGCATGCGTGATAAGTAGGTTTTTAGGGATTTTACACAACTCACGTAATTTCGCGCGGGTGAGATAAGCGCTGTCAACAAAAATTTGACTTAAAGGTGTATTATTGCACTTCTTGATGAGTTTTAGCAAAAACTAATTGGCAATGTGATTCGGTCAAAATATTTACAACATTATTTTAGTCCCAGTTATTTGCTTAGTAATGTGTGGTTGCATCAAAACATCTGATGAATATCATACTCAATTCTTAGATGGGAAATTTGTTCGTCAAATAGTTTAAAAGGTGAATACTTTTTCTAAAAGAAATTTAGCGCAGTTTTGCTCTTCATTGAAAATCACACCTATCATGATACCCACAGTCGTAAGTATGTTACTTCATTTCTAGCTGATCGATTTAGTTTGAAAGGAGATGAACGGTATCTTTGTCAGTCAGCAAGTTTTCTTTTATTGTTTTTAAGATAACAGTTACCGATCGGGAGCAGTGTCAATTTGCGTGGTCTGTGGCCAGGCATTCCCGGACTGCGCTGAAGTTTGAAGCATTATTTTCGACCACGGAGATGTTTCGCATTTTTCCATGACGGGGCAATATTTCACAATTCGAGCGCATTTCCAAGAAAACTGTCTTCCGGTATGCTTTTTAGGCTAAAATTACAGTTTGCAAGGCCTTTTCCCAACTAACGCAGACGCCTTAATTACCTGCATTCCTCCCTTCCTTTCAACCGCCTCCCGTCTAAAAACCCTTAAGTTCCTCATGCCATTGCTCATTATGTTATTTGGGAGCAACTGTGTTTCAGTGCAAAATATTCATGCAGATGAAGGCTTGTCCGGCGGCATTAATACTCTGTATTGAATGTCTCAGGCTCTCGGATAGGAAATGCTTACTGTGCGCTGTGTAGTGAAAACTTTAGCCCTCAATTAGTTGTTGATAAGGGTCGGGTTGCACGAGAGCTAATTTTGTTTGTTTCAGATGTAAATCTGTCAACAAGTCGTATAAAATAAGTTCGACCCTCAGCTTTAACCCGTAAGAAACCGTCGAGGTAACATTGCGCAAATCTTTAAAAAATTTTTTAATTCTAAGAAGAGGATTTTGTCCGGTCAACTGTCCATCTCAGTCAGTCCGGGATATCAGAGTTAATAATTATCTACTTGACGTCACAACATGGCGACCATTTCGGGTATCGAAGATTTTTATACCCAACTCGAAATGTTCGCTGTTTAGTCGTTATTACACGCCGTATGTACAAATAATTCCATTGGAAATTAGTGAATAGGTACTGGTTTTCGCATGTACTCAAGATGGTGGTCATCACGGAGTGCTAGAGGCGAAATTTTGGGCACGGAAGTAACAGGACAGTTGAAATGACACATTTGATTGAGTTATGTTTTTCAACTTTGCCTTAAAGTTTAAGTCAGTGAATGAATTTTTCCGGGGTCAAAAAATCATAGAGCTGTTCTTAAATCTATCTTTTATTTTCGATGCAACTGCTATTTATCGTGATGCGAACCGCAGGTAAAAAGTGCATAGGGTAGTCTTGATTTACCGCTTAATCAGTCGCCAACCGCCATTTTGTATTTTTGACGATGCTTTCAGTCTCTCTGTTTATCATGCGAACATTGTTGTCGAATTTCCGATTTCTTATCACCACACCATACTTAGTTTGTAGTATTTAAAAAAATGATGTTTCGTTTCATTGCGCTGTTATTGCCCGAAGAAAACATTATTAAACAAACTAAATCAGTTATTTGTCAAACGAGAGCCCGCTGTCATCGAATGTTGTGCTCCGTTTGAGGGTTGACCTTGGTTTTTCTTCTGGTCGCTTCATGTTAAGGAGAAGCTCCGGCTGGATGAGCAACTTGGCTCATGCACGGATTTTACTTTATCTTTCCACAAGTCAGGAAATGGTCAGAAAAAAAGATTCTGGGTCAGGGAAAAGTCAGGAAATTTCACTCTAAGTCAAGGAAAATTTGTTTTTAAGAGAAATAAGCAAAAATTGGATTTTTTTGTCAATTCAAGTACTTTAGTAGGTTTTTATGGACATGAAATATAAATAAACTAAAGTGGGTTTCAATAAACAATAACATAGTTTGGTTCTAGTAGTACATACTGTAGTATATCCACTTAATGGTTCTTCCTTTATCAATCAAATTCCAGATTGAATTGTAATTTAGAAAAAGGAAACAACAAATGTGCTGGATTGTTGAAATATTGTTTCATGAAAATTAACGAGATGCAGGTGTTAGGTTTCCACCAAAGAAATAATTTTTCTATATTGTCAGGGGAATTTTACATTTGTCAGGGAATTTCATAAACCTACATGCATGGCTGTAGCAACCATGTTGTATATACATGCATTTCTGTCTCAAAGTTAACTGAAAATTTCATATGTAATATAAAGTTTAATACCTGTAATATTACAAATATGTTATTGTTTTGGATGGTGTGGATTTTCTATATTGTTTTTATTTTGATAAAGCCTAAATATCTCTTAACAGATATTTCACAAGAAGCCCCACATAACGCCTTTCCCTCAGTGGCATAGTTCAGGACAAATACCTTTGCACAAACGTAAAATAGACAAGATTTGCTACGGGAACTGACACTTCTTTATCCACTTGGTGTGTTTGTTATAAAAAAATGCCATGGAAATTGATTCAGAACTACGTTACGGACACTCGATATTGACGATTCTTCTTCGTAGCAATATTTCAGGATGTTACACAACTCTTTTCTACGCTAAGGGGGAAGGGGGTAAGATACGTTGCGTGACTTCTTGTAGAGTTACGTGACATCCTGTAGAAAGGCTGCTGCGGAGACTAAGGGCTGATTGGCTAAACAGTCTGTGAAACCATTACACTGCTGGAGGATGGTGTGGGCGATACGACCGGCATCGAAGATACAACTTGTGAACTTGAAGGGGTTACGGACATCACAGGACTGGAGGAAGGCGACGGGGTGGGACTCATAGGTGGAGCAGGAGTGGGTGGCTTGAATATCTCTCCTGTTATAGATATGACAAATGGTACAACTCTGTTAACAGTGCGTCCTTGTTTTGAACAAAGTACTAACCGTTATACTTGTATTATTGAGAGGGTAAACAAAAAAAACATTACTAAACGCTCCCCTAACAAGGGCAGAGTAATCGGTGTAGAAATGTCTCAGTGTAGTTAACGAGAGAATCATTAGAAACCAGTCATTTTTTATCACCCTGAGGGGGGGGGGAGGGGGAGGAGATTTTATATGGAAAAGTGCTGTCCCTATCTATTTACTTTGACAGCATTTTGTTGTAGGTCTGGAATTGATAAGGGTTAGTAACTAAACATGATACTTACCAAAAAGCTTCTTTTGATAAAATCGGCATTTTTTATTATCCAAGCAATCAACTTCTTTTAGTACACGTTTGAGTAGCCACTTCTTCTTCTTCACTGATAAAAAAAATAACACAGACAATTGCTTTAGATAATGTTCAATGAGTAACCTATGTCTTAAGCCTCCCTTGGTCAGATGTTGAGCCGTTTGATGCAACTTTGGCGTTTTTTTTTTTTTTTTTCATCAAAACATGGTAAGAGAAAAGAAGGTGGTACACCGAGCAACTTGTGTGTCATTGATGTTGTTACCACGATTTTTCGACTGTGATCTGATTTAAGACACACGGGAAATACATATTTCATTTAATACCAGAAAGGCAA